CTTGTGGTTTGGAGACTTAGAACTTTATCTACCGCCTGCCCCAAATGATGTCCGACAGCCTCAGTTTCCACATCTGTAAAATGGGATTACAAGTTTTGCCCTAAGGCCTGGACAATGTACAACAAGGGCCTGGAAAGCTTTGGGGTAGGTAAAGCTGTTTTGATGGTCAGAACCAGGGAAAAGCCTGGATCCAAGGATGGGCCACAATGGAACCCTTTTCCCATAGAGAACAAGGTGAGACTTCTATAGCGATGGGGGTCAGGGCCTCTCTCAGACACCATGGCCAGCAGAGATGTTGATGGTTATCCCCCACTGTAGTTAGGTTGTACAGTTTCTGAGCCTTGGATCCAGGAGGGTTTAAATCTTGCTTCCTGGAGGTCATTGACCTGTCTGCCAGTCAAACAGCTCCAGGAATTCTTAGATGTTGGAAAAGAAATGAGTGCATCGACGTGGAGCAGAAGGACCTCAGAGGAAGCAGGATCTACTACCCCATGGAGACAAGCTACTGTTCAGCAAGACACAATTGCCCCAGACTGCAGATCTTGGTCCTGAGCCTACTGAGCACATCTCTGACAGTTAGACTCTGGAAGCAGGAAGAAACTCAGAGGCAAGCTCCACGTCTGTGACTTGCAGTTCTCCAGATTGGGAAAGAGGAAATTGCCACTGGAGGGGTGTATCTCGCAGTTTTTTACTGAGTAGCAGTTCTTCCTGATCATAGCTGAACTGCAGGGTCAGTCCCAAACACTCAGGAAGGCTCTCAGGTTCTGGGCCTGGGTGTTTGGAGTCCTGAAACTCAGGAGGTATCCTGTTTTAGAGGTTAGGTGTTTCACGATCCTGTTACCAGTGTCTTCTAATAAACCACAGGCACTCAGGGACCCTGAGAACCAGCCCAGCAAGGGCCATCTGGCCACACAACAGGGTTCCCAAATCAGAAGTAGAATGGTCCCTTTTCAGATAACAAAAAGAAAACCCCGCAGCTGTCAAGGGGCTGCTCTGTAACTTTCCCGGCCTACTGACAGGCCCACCCAAACAGAAGTGTGGGATGAGGGGACACTCAGGACGCTTTACTCTTGCTGCCGCCCCAGGCAGCTGCAGGTTTCTGCAGATGGTGCCCCCACTACCTACACCTTCGTACAGTGGGCCAACGCTTAGCCTCGGACAAGAGGGCACTCAAGGACAGGCAGGAACCGAGGGTCGCCTGCGTCTTAGGTTCCTAGGCTGGCCTCGAGTGACCCACACGACCAGCGCTCCCCACCTCCGGCGCGCTCCCCCCTTCCCTTCCCGCTCACCACAAGCCAAGTTACTGCTCCCAGGACAAACATGGAGCATCCCGGCTGATGCCCGGAGGCCGAGCTCTACGAGTCCTAGGCCGTCTGGCCGGCCACCTAGCGTGGAACTCACCTTAGCGAGCCGGCGGCGCCTCCTCAGCGCTCGCGGTCGGTCTAAGCGGGCGCGGCCCTAGTGCCGGCCCTCAGTCGGTTGGCCCACAACTTCTACCGGAGGGCACCAAGGCCCCCTTCGCGCCAGCCGCGATGCTCCGCCGGCTTAGCGCGTTTTGGCCGCGAAGATCTGTCTTGGCCCGGCAACCTTACGCCGCCTCCGTAGCGCCCGCCGTCCCGCCCGGCCCACCCGGTACGCCTTACGCCGCCTCCGTAGCGTGGCGCCCAGCCGGGGCCCGAGGCTACGGCGCGTAAGCGGCGCACGCGGCACTGGGAATCGCGCCGGAACTACGGCTCCCACAGGGCAGAGCAACGCCGCTCAAGGCACGCCGGGAGCTGTAGTCCATGAATGGCCCTACCCTCTACCCTATCCCTGAGATCTCGCCCTCCCAGCGTGGCAGGAGACGCTCGGTCCACAGATGTAGGTGGTACTCCCATGCTAGTTTGATGAGACGCGCTGGATCCGGGAAGAGAACGGACTACAGATCCCAGGATCCCCTTAAGATGGGCCTCTGGGCAAAGCTCGGTAGGCGTCCACGCGGTCTCAGTGTCATTGCGCCAGGGGAAGATGTCCGGAGTCTGGGTCGTGATTTTGTGCAAGGTCTGAACCGGTTGTCTGCAGAGTTGAAGCAGTAGGTGGTACAGTCCAACCTGGCTGCCTGGGCTGCTTTCTACCTCTTCCAGCCCCTTCAGCGACTTCTGGTTTCTTTCCCAGTGGTCTGAAGAAGCAGCAATCGTGCTGGACCTGCTCCGTCCGAGGTTACTCCATCTGAGTGAGGTCCGTGGATACTCGAGTGCTAGATAAACACATCACTTTTTCTAGAGAAACTCTGGCATCTAATTGAGACATCTTCCTATGTCATTTTGAGTTATATTCACAAGAGCCCCCCAAGCTATTTCCCTTTAGGGCCCTTTGGCTCCCCGAAGTAACTTAATTCCAGCCACTTGTCCTCTGCAACAGGAAGCTACACTAAGAATCAGGCTGCAGAGGAGGCCATAGCACATAGCAAAGGGATACTAAAATTCCCTGGGATTTTCTGCACTCTGGATGTTGTATGAAAGAGTGGGTGCCATTTGCCCCAGGACCCAGAAAACCTGAGGCAGGCTCAGTAGAGACTACAGATAATGTTTCTGGGAAATCATTCATGCTCCAGAAGCTAGCAAGCCAAAGACAGGCCATTGAATTTAGAATGCTGTGGGGACACCTATGCCTGAATGTGGAAGACACCAAATTTTGGCAACACAGGAGCAGATGCTGTCTGTCATCTTGAGCCCCCTGACACAGTGAGTGAAGTGACTGCTTAATGGCTCGCTGAGTCGACATTATGGCGATATTATGGAAATTAGCAAGGCCTACCATCAGAAGATTAGCAGTAACTAGCTTGACCACTTATCAGTAGGGGATACCCATGATCAGAAGAATGGCCAAGATGGATCTAGGACAGTCCTTTGCAGCATCTCTGGTCACTATGGAGCATCACTAGTGCAATGATTTATCACCGCACTAAGATGATCATAACATTGGATCATCCCAGGTTGACGGTCCTGAACTATGTAGTGTAGTATGGGCCAGAAGCTAGAACCCTAATGAGTGGACAGACCACAGGGCAGCCTGTAGAGATCAAGAAGGGCAGAGAGACCTCTGCAGGGACAGAAGCCATAGATTTTTAGCAGATGGGACCCAACACTAGTCTGAGATTTGGGGCCAAAGCTACAAAGAAAAACAGACCTTATCTGGGTATAGTTGCATAGTCCTGCTCAGGAGACGGAGGTAGGAGGGTCATAAATTCAAAGTTGACCTGGGCTACAAAGTTTAAGGTTTTGTCTCAAATAGAGGGTAAAGTTGTGATGGAGACTCCTTTAATCACAGCACCTGCACTTGGGAGGCAGAGGCAGGCAGATCTCTCCCAAGTTTTGAGGCCAGCCAGGGCCACCAAGTGAGATTCGGTCTTAAAAGAAGGGGGGGCACTGTGGGACAAACCTGTAATTCCCAACACTTGGGAGGTGAAAACAAGAAGCCCAGGGCCATCCTCTATTACATGGTGAGTTTGAGGACAACCCAAATTACATAAGACCCTGTCTCAATAAACAGAACTCAAAGGTACAGTTATAAAGGTGCATGCTGCAGATAGTTTAGTTAGTGCTTATGTAGCATGTGTGAAACCCTAGGTTTAGTAAGAGACTCAGAAGCTATTACAGAGTCAAGATCCTCATTGGATGAACGCTCAGGAAGCTTGATGTGCCAGTCAGGTCAAACGCTCAGGCTTAAGTTTTTCTGATTTCCACAAATGACATATGATACAAGTCAGAACACCAACCTCGTGGTAAATGTAAATGGAGGTTCCTGACTAAAATTCCTGTTATGCTCTGGACTTCTTCTAAGATTCCAAAATGTCAGCAGGTTCACAGCAGATATGTGTAAGTACCTCCCTGGGTTCACCAAAATTTGGGTATTCCCCAAGGTGGTCAGGTAGGCTAGTATCAATTTAAATTTACAGAGGCTAAGCCCCATCTATGCTGTTCTCTAACAGATAACTGACCAAGACTAGGAAGATATAACCAATGTCAGGGGCCAACTGGAGATAGGATTTACTTTGGGCAAAGAGTTCCACTTGCTGCAGGTTCAAGAGTCGGCAAGCCCTGTGGCAAGCCACTTCCTCCACACCCCCACCATCAGAGGTATAGTGAGGAGTCTGCTAGGAGATGCCAACTTCTTCTGGAATTATCCTCTAGGCATACTGCTGGCCCCATGTAAGAAATTCTTGTACAGCCTTTCCTAGAATGTTTCTACTAACAACCCATTTCAACCATGAGATCCCCTTACACCATATCCCAAATTGGGAACTGTCTTCCTGGGGCTCAGTTCCCTCAGAATCTTCCACTGGGGGTTGACTGGATTGGATAATAAATCAAGGAGCTGTCAGGCTGTGGTGGGATGTCCTCCTTGTTTCCAGCTTCTCCTAGGCACAGAGGAGCCTTGATGGTATTACTTAAATGCCTGTGGCTAGAACCTAACGGGGAGTTGAATGGGTTTGCTGCTGCTGATTTGTGGTGTCAGGGTCTGCTGTGCCACCCGAACTCCTCATACACCTCCTCCCATACCCCATGACCACACTACAGTGATCCCTTCCTCTTGGACACAGGATGTATAGGCCAGGGGTAAGAGCACTGTGCCTGAGACTGTGAGATCCACATCTATACTTTCTCCTCTGCCTATGTGGCAACCTCAACTGAGGCTCCTGTGGTCCTTCTGGGCTGTATTGTGGGCACAAGTCTTACCAGTAAGAGGCTGTTGGAGGTCATTGGGACCTTGCCTTTAGGAGTGACTGTCAATAGAGCAACTCATTTCAGGACCTAGACTCTGCCCAGGGAGTAGCCCATCCTAGAGGAGAAATCCTGGGGCCTCAGAGTGGGCCTGACCTGATCAAGGCAGAAAACAGTGGTTCCCTCATGGTCTGAACTTAAATAGCCAACATCATCCCCCTAGAAACATGAGGGAGACAAAATCCAGGCCCATAGCCACCCATCCCACCACCCTGTGGAGAAAGAAGCCGGCCTCTGTGTGCGGTAACAGCTTTAATCTGTGGTGGCTGACACATGGGACAGGATCCTGTTGGCCTCCCATCCTTCCATGCCCTGGAGGAAGAGCTACTTCTCAAGGAGCTGAAGCAGATGCCATGAGCAAGTTGGTGACTGGTGTGTTTCCCATGTCTCCTGGAGACCTGTGTTTAAAGTGAGCACTGGAGGGCAAACAGCAGAGACAGGCTGCAAGCCCTTACACAGGGCTTGGACCTGGGCACAGAAAGGCAGGGCTCCAGTATTGATATATTATACATATATATATATATATTTCATATGTATACACAGTTTTCTCTCTGGAAAGTATTAAAAAAATTGATCAACCTTCAATCTATAAAAAATACCTACTCTACATGATAGAAAAATCTCTCCTCCAAGTTTACATTGATTTACACACAAGGCTTTCCCCAAAATGTACAATACGAGGCAACATCTTAAACTGTAGTGTAGAAGGGAGGCAGGGTTGGGGGGATAGGCAGTGAAGGGATGCAGGGCAACACGTGTGGGCACAAGCATTCATACACTCACACTTGTGTGCACACTCATGCATGCGCACACACTTTCACACACACACACGTGTGTACGCCCCCACACCCCCACCCACACACACACACTCACACAAGCCTATGGTGTGGTCTTAGACACTGTGCCCAGACTCCGACTAGTGCTCAGGCTCAGGTCCAGCTGCTATGGGTGCTGCAGCTCTGTGGGTGGTGCAGGGGCAGGCAGCAAGCCTTCCTCTGTCTCTGGGTCAGTGCAGAGCCTCCTCCACCCATCCACTAGCAAAATGATTCCTGGAGGACACCCAGGTATTTAAAGCCAAAAGCAGAGAAGGGAACTGTTCCAGAGGCCTAGACTATTGTCTGGGAAATGTAGACTTCTCCCAAGGCAGCAAAGTCAGCCTGAGGAGGGTGTGGGCCCTGGAGCCAAGGTAGGCCACACCTGAGGAGAAGCAGCACCTGCACCGGGGTCAGAGAGGCTGACAATGTTCACCAGTCCAGGATGTGAGTTCCCCGTCAGCATGACTAGCTACTCTAGCCCCTACAAGAGGACCAGAGCTGATGAGTCACTGTAGTGAGGGTCTGACAAAGGACCGATGTGTGGCTTGGAGGCCCTGGGTCCAAAGGTGAATGGAAGCCCATCTGGTGGGAGACGGCCTGAGCAGCGCAAGGAGAATTGGTGGCCTATGGATCTGGACCAGAGCCACATGTGCCATCTTTGCCTGTCTGTCTTTCCAGCACTACCACTTCTATGTCCAACCTTGGGTCCTCAGCTTGCAGACCATGTGGGAATGGCCAAGCTTGGGTGGCACCATGTTAACAGGAGTGAGAGGCAGCAACTGAGGTGAGGACTCATTTTCTCTCTCTTCCTAACAGGGTGCATAGCAGAAAGAGGGGTGGGCCAGAGACTTAGCAAGGGGCCCATGCCAGCCTGAGAGACTATCCCCACGTATCTGCATACTGCTGAGCAGACATGGGTGTTGTTGGTGAGGCTGGCTTGTGGTGGGAGGCCCTGGCTTCCTGGCTTCCAGGCTCTTCGCCTGCTGTGGACTTCCCTTTCTTCCTTCTTACTGCCCCTGCAGCCCTTCTTTATTCTCCCAGTCCAGCTGCATGAGGGCCCCACACACCCTAGGCTTGGTAAGCTGCAGGACCTGCTGGTCGTGGCTCTTTGTGGCAAGACAGGGCCACTCTTGGGTCTGTGGAGTCTATAACCAGCCCAAACTGGGCTAAGATGTACTATTTGACCTCTAGGATGGATGGGTTGGTCTCCAGGATGGCCACAATAATCCTGTCAATGTAGTCCTGCAGGCGGAAATTGATCTCCTCCTGCTTCTGGATTGCTTCCATGAGCTGCAGGAAAGCAGAGGGTCAGTGGAGGGAAAGGAAGAGGCCTGAGCAGGATGAAGAGACTCGGGTTATACAAAGGCAGGGCAAGGTACCTCATCTCGGGAGACAGAGCTGATCTCTGCAGCCAGAGATTCCGAGAAGGACGTGGAGAAGAGGCTCTTGGCGCCCTGGATGCTGAGGGTGATGATCTGTCCGTTTAGCTCATCATTTTGTTCCTTCAGGTTACGGTTGTCCTAGGGGACATAGCAGTGTCACACTGGGCTATGCCCTTGCTGGGACAAGGACCTTCCAGGAAGGACCCCAGTTTGGTGTCCCCTCTCATGCCAGCCTCTCAGGAGCTTCTGTGAGGGGAGATGCAAGGGCAGAGCCACACCTGTTTGAGTCTGCGGACCTCCTGTTCCAGCTCACTCTCCCGTGCACGGCTGTTGTACTCCTGCAGGCCCAGGCTGCTGCTGCGGCCCCGACGCTGCTCTACCTCCAGTCTGAGGAGCTGCAGGTGTTCTAGCTGCTTGCGGAGGTCCTCGATCAGCTGTGAGGTAACCACAAGGTGGGCTCCTGCTAGTTGGCCTGACCACCCTCTCCTGGGAGGATGGTAACCTGTGTTCCAAGAAGCTACAAGCTACCTCCCAGTGGGTTCAGTTCCAGGGGCACTGCCCAGAGTGGCAGAAAAGTGTTTCCTGGCCTCCACCAAACAGTAGGCTACATCAGATAATATGGGAACATGGGGAGGAGACAAAGGCCCCGCTCACCTCCTGAGTTGCTTCCTTGTCCCTCTGGAACTGGTGCCGCTCATGGCTCAGCCTGTCCCCCATTTTCCTCTTATTCTCCTGTTCTTCACTGAGCCGCTGTGTCAACTCTTCAATCTCATCCAGCATCTTCTGCTTCTCCTGCAAAAACAGACACCTGTGTAGACAGGTCATGGCACTGCTTTACCCACACATGCAGCCTGACCCGATGGCCTGTGCTCTAGACCACTGGTCTCCAGTCCATGGCAGGACTATGTCTGTGCTTTCCTGTCGTCCTGTCAAAGCTGCCCTGCTTGTGGCCAAGGGACCTGCATCTGAACAAGACCTAGCCCAGTATTTATGGAAAGCTCCTGCTTGGCTCCTCCTCTGGTTTGTAAGAGTCAGCATAGGTAGGCTGGAAATATTCAGAGTTTCCCACAGGGCATTCTGTGGGGGTGCCTAGAGGCATGGCCTCTCAGCAACAGACTGGAACAGACGTTAACAGTACTGCCTCTGCCTGGTGATGTGCAAGACCATCTTCCAGTCACCTCAGGTGAGTTGGTAAGGTGGTCTTTGAGCCTCCAAGCCCCAGTCTGTGGGAGAGCCGAAAGGCCGGGTTGGGTAACTTGTTGGAACAGCAGATCCTTCACATTTGAGCACAGCAGGGCCCAGTGTTGCCAACCTGCCCTCCCCAGTTCAGAAGGCCCTGGCCACATGTCCTGGCTCCATGCTGGTGTGACAAGCAGAGGGCAGAGGACAGATTTATTCCAGGCAGGGCCTTCCCCACAAGTACCAGGCCAGTGGCTCACCTCCTCAAGGCGCTCGATGTTGGCCTTCAGACAAGGTGTGCAGGACCGCAGCTCACTGTTCTCCTCATCCAGCTGCTGCAACCTGAGACACAAGAACAGCTCAGGACTGGCCCCCCCTAAAATGTGCCTCCAAAGGACAAGGGGGGCCTAGCTATGGAGGAATACTCAATCACCAGGAGTTGTTTTGTGACCCACGATAGTCCCAAATGCCGTGGCTAGTCCTTACCTCACTACCCAGCTTTTTTGTGGTCTGTTTTATATTTTGAGGTAGCATATTATCAAGCCTAGGTGGGCCTCAACTTTTCTGTGTAGATATGGATAACCTTGAATTCCTGTCTCCTGAGTGCCGAGATTACAGGTGTGTGCTACCTTGCACTGGCCATGATGGCTTTTAAAGGCACTCTGGGTTTAGGAATTTTAGGTTATAGAAAAGCTGTAGACAGTGCAGTCTCTGTGTTGGTTTTCCTCTGTGGTCTGCCTACTCAACACTGTGGCACATCACAACCTATACCTAGCTGGGCTATACTATGACTCAATGCACATTCCACCAAACCCCAGGATTTCACAGCATTATCCTTGTGTCTTTTATATTTCCTGGTCTGTGTATCTCCCAGACTGTCATACTGTAGCAGTCCTTGACGTATACTCTGCAAAATGTGCCTCAGACTGGTTTTTGGTGTTAGGACTCAGGGAAAGTTCTTCCACAGTGAAGTCCTTGTCACACTTATGTGACACCCACCACCATCATGGGTCACTTGGTTAAGTGTCTGCAAGGTATGTCTACTTGTCTCTTAGTTTATACCCCAAGAGACGGACCTCACACCAGTCCCTGGAGGGGCATTTACAAACACTCTCTGGTATTTCCCTGGGGGTCAGACTCCTGTCTACTATTTACAGGCTGGCTGTGTGGCTGAGGACTCCAGCCAATCTCATTTACACCCTGGCTGGCTTCCCAAGGGACTGTTACCATCACCACTTCCAGCTCTAGTCGCTGAAGCTCTTTCAGTTGGCCCCAGTGTCCCTTTGGCGCAGCTCCATCACTGTGTGGGTGTATATGGGTATTTTCATTATCATTTGTTCCTGGAGTGTGACTGTTAATGAACCAAACATCCATCATGCCTCTGTGTTCACCAGGCTGGCCTTATGTTCAACTGAACCTGAACTTAATGCCCAAAACCCACAGGGTAGAAAGAGAACCAATTCCCACAAGTTGTTCTCTTTACTCTCACACATGTACATGCATACACAAACATGTAAACACACACAAATAAATTAATGTAATTTAAAAATTAAATCAAAAATTTTAAGCATCTTTTCATGTGAGCATCCCTTTTTGTCTCCTTTACTTTCTGTCTTTTCTTTTTTTTATTCTTGTCTTTGTTTTATGTTTTTCAAGATAGAGTTTCTCTGTGTAGCCCTGGCTGTCCTGAAACTCACTCTGTAGACCAGGCTGGCTTGAACTCCCAGAGATCTGTTTGCCTCTGTCTCCTGAGTGCTGGCATAAAAGGTGTGGACCACCAATACCTGGCTGAGTATCCCTTTTTCTATTACTAAGCTCTCCCTACATGTTCTACTACTTGGTAGACAGGAGTTCTCCTGCCTGCACCTGAGCTTTGCCCACCTGGCCTGCAGGTTCTCAATCTCGATGCTTTTCTCACGCTCCATCTTGCACAGAAGCTCCTTCTGCTTCCTGGTTTCTTCCAGAACCTTCTCTTGGGCTCTGAACTCCTGCTCCTTCAGCTGCTCTTCTAAGGCATTGGCTCTGAGGGCAAAGGGGAGGCACATATCTGTAAGGTGTTCGAAGCGTTGCTCAGAGGCATTGTGTACTGACCAGGTAGCAGCTGTCCCAGGAAGGCCACTTCAAACTTAGACATGCACAACCAGAAGAAAGAGTCAGAAAGTGTTAGGCGACAGCACTGAGCAGAAAGCAGCTGTGACAGCAGGTCTATACTGCTAAGGCGAGTACAGATGTCACAGGCAGCACAGTTAGACTGCAGTGAGGTTTCCACATCCTACCCAAGGAGCTAGATCAGCTCCTTTTATGTGCAGGCCCTAAAGGCTGTGATGGAGTCACACCTAGAGAGGATTCACTCTACACCTTATGCCCTCCAGGATCACTTAGAGAAGAACCTTGTTTAGGCTTGAGGCTCTGGCCTCTTCCCCAGCTTCCTGCAGAAGACAGGGATGGTCAGATATAGTCCCTGAGAAAAGTACTGCCAGCACTGTCCACAGGTGTGAAGAAGCTGTAACCCTAGTGTGTGTACCTCAGCTCCTCTTTGGTAAATGAGCACAAAGAGCAGTGTAGAGCACCAGATAGCACAGGGTTCTGTAGCACACATAAAGCAACATGTCACACTGACACCTAAGGTATGGAAGCCATGTGTCTGTGGCTCTGCAGAAGTCAGAGTGGGAAGAATAGATACACACTCTTAATCCCAGCTCTCGGGAGGCAGAGGCAGGGGGAGCTCTGTGAGTTCAAGGCCAGCCTAGTCTACAGAACGAGCTCCAGGACAGCCAGGGTTACAAGGAGAAACCCTGTCTTGAAAACCAAAAACTACTCTTAGAAATGAATGTTAGGAAGTTGTGGCTCAGAAGGTGAGGGACTGCTCAACATATACACGACCCCGAGCTGACTACAGTGAGAGACAGAGCTGGGGAAAAAAGGAAGAAGTGAAAATGAGGAAGAAAATCAAAACAGAAAAGAAAGTATCAAAGTCAAAACAGAATATATAAGGGAAAAGAGAAAGGACAACAAGATAGTATCAGAGCTTAGGAAAACTAAATTAAAGTTCTAGAAGATCCACCTTGACCCAAAGAAGTCAAGGCTGATGAAAAAAAGGAAGAGCCTGCAGAGAGCTTTATTATTCCCCTGAAGGGGTGGCAAGACGGTCTGGCAGGTAAAGGCGCTTGCCTCCAAGCCTAGCTACCCGAGTTTTAGTAAGAAAACGAATGGCCTCCATCTGTTTGCGTGCACAAGAGTGCACACACACATATGCCCATTTGTCGAGTTAAAACCAAGCACTCAGCATAGAAACCTTTGAGAGCCACATGGAGGCATCCAGGGTGATAAACAGAACACTGAGAATGTGCAGAACAGTAGCCCAGACTCTATGCAAGGGAAGGCCAGCCACGCCCAGAACACATCTGCTCCCCCTCCTCGTGTTTTGAAAGGGCCTCACTCTGTGGCCCAGGCTGGCTTCAAACTTACCATACTCCTGCCACTTTTCTTTTGCTCTGTGCAGATAGTATGGTATGTCATTTCATCTTGCCCATATGAGGACACCCACATAGCTTGTCTTCCAGTTCAGTTTAGCTTTTGACTAAGCCACTTAAAAAGGCTGAGGTAAGTCTGCAGAGGCCATCCACAGCTCTGCACAGCGCCCTCTTTTTCTGTTCCTCCAGGACAAGGCTCTGCCTTCAGCTCAGTAAGCCCTCCCTGCTGTCCTCTGAGGACACCATGGAAGCTGCACTAACTTCATTTCCTCATTTGTAGAGTGGGGAAAGTATCCACCTCCCAGAGTTACTGAGTAGCAAGAGCCTTGGGAGACTTAACCCAGGACCAATGGGACATTTCCCCCAGGCCAGGGTCTCAGAAATAGTCATGGGAGGCTACCATACTATGGTTGAGCTGCAAATGGACCCTGAGTCGGCTCCATGTGTACCAAGTGCTCCAGAAAACAGAGCTGTAAAGGCTCTGTCTGGGCGTGGCGACTCTCCCATTTTGTGACTCTGCTCTGAACTCAGAGCCTCAAGTGGCACACAGTCTACTCCTGAGAAACAATCTCCACTTGAATTTATTTATTGCTTATGTTTTTTGAAAGTTTTTTTTAATGTGTGTGGATGTTTTGCCTGCATGTATGTCTGTGTACCACATGTGTGCACTGTCAGTGGAGGCCGGAGGAGGGTGTGGGATTCTCTAGAACTGGATTTGTAGACAGTTGTGAGTTGCCATGTAGGTACCAGAAATCAAACCCAGATCCTCTAAAAGAGCAGCCAATGCTCTGACCTGCTAAACTATCTCCCCAATGCCTTATTTCAAATCAATCTCTCTCAATCTCTCTCTCTCTCTCTCTCTCTCTCTCTCTCTCTCTCTCTCTCTCTCTCTCTCTCTCTCTCTGTGTGTGTGTGTGTGTATTGTATGTGCTTGTGGAAAACAGAGGACAACTTCAGGTGTCATCCTTAGGAACACCGTCCATTTCCTGTGAGGCTCGTTGACTAGGCTACACTGGCTGGCCAGTAAGTGCCAAGCATCCTCCTGTTTCTGTCTCCCCAATGCTGGGATTGCAAGCGTGTGCTCTCATGCTTAACATTTTACGTAGGATTTACCCAGGTCCCCATGTTTGCCAAGGCAAGCTATTTCCTTAAGTTGGTCTTAGACACACTGTATAGCCAAGAATGACCTTGAACCCACAATTCTTCTACCTCTACCTCCCCAATGTTTGGAATGTATGTCTAGGTCTCCATTTTAAGCTGTACCTCCCCTCCTGCCTCCTAGGGAATAGAACTATCTTGCTCGCTCACTTCTCTAGGGCTCTACTGTCTATGATATTGTGGAAGGTATCTACAGAGCCTCAGGTCAACCAGTTAGAGTCCTCTGGCCATGCCTGGCACCCACCCAGCATGTGAGTGGATGGGTGGTATCAGAGAAGAACACATTCTCTGCAGGAGTCTGCTTGCTGAGGCGGAGGATCCATATGGTGTGAGTGATGCTTTGGGCAGAGCTGGCCTCAAGCCACACTCACCTGTGCACCAGCTGCAGGTTTTCCTGCCTCAGCCTGCCATGCTGCTCGCCAGCAGCCGCACTGTCTTTCTCCAGCTCTGACACACGTCTCTCCAGGAAGATGACCTAGGTAAAGAGATGACTGCCTGAGGAACAGGTTGGAAGAGGTAAACACTGTGCCTGCAAGGGAACACCTGGGAGGCAGCATGGGATTCCCATACCCACTTGCTGAGTGGGAGTTGGGCTCATCCTTAGAGACTGTCTCATAAATCCAGAGCAGTGCAGCTCCCACAGGGTCACAGTCAACTCAACAGAACACGGACAGGTGTCACTGGGAAATTCAAGCTCTAGTGTCCTCGTGGCTTGTGCATGGGACCATGAAGCTCACCCAGACACACATTCACATGTGAGCTCAACTGCCAGAAAAAGCACATGGAGGAGGCCCAGATGTTGGGATAGTAGGGACAGAAAGGACCATGTCTTCAGTTTTTTCCTCCTTCAGGAGAGAAGATACTATAAGGAGAAACGGAGACAGAGGAAGGATTTAGCTTCAGAACACAGGGAGCCCTGAAGATACTGTAGAGAAAGGAATATACCAAAGGTGAGGCTGGGTACAGTGACAACGAAGCAGGGTGGAGAAGAGGCCTGGCAGAAACAAAACAGGAGGACCCAAGGCAGGCAAGGCAGGTGTAAGGCCGGGAGGGTGCCAAGCCAAGCAGGCACCGGTGAATGCATGGCAGGTACAGAGGACGTCGGGTGGCTAAGTACACTGTGAGGAAAGGCAGGGAAGTGAGGTGAGATACTGAGGAAGCCAAGTGTGCTGCAAGTTGAGGGTGGGTGAGGTGCTAGGGAGGGCAAGGTTGGGCACAGGTGCCTGGAGGGTACAGGAGGAACCAGGTAGTGTTGTTGCTGCCACCCTTCCCAGACTCACACAGGCCCTTGGCAAAGGGGCATGACCACAGTGAGACACCTGGCCAGGCTGTAGCAATGTGCACAAGGCAAGCCCATGGTCGTGTTATCTCCTGTGGTGTTTAAGATGGAAATGGCCCCAAAGGACTGGTGGATTTAAATGGCTGCTATGATGGCTATTCTTGGTTGTCAGCTCAATTACATCTGGAGTTGACTAAAAGCCCAGCGGCTAAGTAGACCTGTGAGTCCCAGCCTAAGAGGGTGTCAGCAGCTAAAGTGAGGACAGTAATTGGTAAGAATGGAATCCTGTAACTTGGAGTGGAAATGGTGGAAGGACCCTAATGGAGCTGAGAATTTTGAACCCTGAGATTCTCAAGGGTTTATCTCACCTGAGGAGGTAGTCCCCCCCACCTCAGCAGAAGGTGTATTCCAACACCCTGAAACACTGCCTTTTTTACCTTTGACTGAGGAAATCAATCCTTTATTGTCTGCTAAACCAGCAGTGACTTTCTCTGGATGAGATGCCAGGCAACACTATACTGATGCTCTTCAGGGCTGACCAACAGTTGTCTCTAGACCCATAACCAGACTTAAGGCTAAGCAGGCTCCTAGGGGGGAGTGTGTAAAGTCCATGAGGAAGTTCACTACACTATTAAAGAGCTTAATGAGTTTGCTAATTCATTCAAGGAGAAGTCTGGGGAATGTGAGGGAAGGGATTTTAAAGGTGTAGGATAATGGTGGAAGGAACATTAAACTGAGTCAGGGAGAGTTTACTGATATGGGCCCACAGAGTGGAGATTCTAGGTTTAATATGGAAGTGCTCACAGGTGTCAAAAGCCAGGTTGTAGTGGCTTACACCTTTAATCCCAGCACTTTGGAATCAGAGGTAGGCAGATCTCTATAAATTTGAGGCCAGCCTTGTCTACAGAGCTAGTTCCAGAACAGCCAAAGGCTACAGAGAAACCCTGTCTTCAAAAAACAAAACAAAAACAAAACAAAAACCCAAAACATTGTCAAAAGTCTGAGTGGTGGCTGGAGCATTGCTCAGGAGATGGCCTATTGAGAAGGAGCTGGAAATGCCAGATATCCTCCGGCTTAGTGTTGATGAAGGGATTGTATGGCTCAGAGAAACTGCAATGCTGGTAGAGTGGATACACTGTGTAAAACCTAATTCTCCACAATGGGAAGGCGCAGGAGTCTCGCCCGTCACTAACAATGTCAGACAAAAAATGCTGAGAGCCCCAGCACACCTGAAGACCTTAATCTGGAAGAATTAAATGCAATGGGTTTAACTGGGCCCAGAAGCAGCAGGGGCCAGGTGGCACCACTGAATTGCCAAAGGTAAGGTGATTTACTTATTGTACTGGGCAGCAGGGGCAAAGTGAATTTAATGGTGGCATGACTCATATGGACCTTTGGTATTGGCTAATCAATCATGGTGTCTCCAGGCATGACATAGATAAGAAGCCTATTGCATTTTTGTTTGATATGTATAGGCAGAAACATCCTAGAACAAATGAAGAAAGGTTACACTGGATCATGGCAAAAGAGAATCTAGGCCTGTGATCCAATTCCAGGCTTGAGCCAGTTTGCAGTCCCAGAAATCCCTTGAATGAAGGGATGGCCAGGTTCCCCTGAGGAAGGACCTTGATAAAATACCTAAGAGTTATTAAGCCTTTCCACAGTTCATTCCCACAAGTACCTGTGCTGTGGCCTTTTATAAGGTTAAGTGTACACTGGGGGAAAGGAAATCAGACTTTCTTAGTTCTGAATTGATGCTGATTCCAGGAATCCCCAAGAAACATTGTGGTCCTCCACTTAGACAAGGGGCTTATGGAGGTCAGGTGATTAATGGAGTTTTTGCTAAAGTCTGACTTATAGTTGGTCTGGGGGTGGGAGGTCCCTGAACTCATCCTATGGCTATTATAATTGGGATAGATACACTTAGAAGTACAACTTTCAAGTTGGCCATCTGACCTGTGGAGTGAGGGTGATTATAGTTAGAAAGGCTGAATGGAAGTCTTTAGAGTTGCTTCTGCTAGGGCAAATAGTGAGTACCTGAATCCAACAGACCCTGATGCCCTTAAACCAACAGGCTGAGACACAAGAAGAACAGTGTTAGGAGTGGCAATCGATCCAGATTTCCAAGGGAAATCAGATTGCTTTTCCACAACAGCAGTAAGAAGATTATGTGTGGAGTGGAGGACATCCTCTGGGTGTCCCTTGGGGCTACTGTGTGTGCCCTGTGATTAAAGTCTATTGGAAACTACAACAGCCTAATCCAGGCAGGATGACAGAGGGAAGAGACTCTTCAGGAATGACAGTAAGGGTCGTTCCTCCAGGAAGAGCCAATACCTGCTGAGGTCCTTGCTGAAGGTGGAGGAAATGTGGAATGAGTAGTAGAGGAAACGCGTTTGGGACCACGTGACCAGTCGCAAAGACATGGGTCATAATAATTAACAAGAGTGTTTTATTTTGTCCTACAGGAGTGTCCTATTTTGTTATGAATGTGTTTGTACAGATATTTGTTTCCTCTCTTCAATTTGCAATGAAAAATAACACCAATTAAGAGAGTATCAATGGCTATCATATTTAAATTTGAGAGATACTCAAAGAATGTCTCTCAAGGGACATTGCAACCTATTTGGGATTGTATGTGGGATTGTTATATGATGTTAGGTGTAATTATGACCTGGTTATTGTTTTAATTTGGTAATTAAATATGATATGAGGAGATATGATTGTTTGTCAAGTTGACAAGTTGTGAAACTGTCATGGCTATGGTTGTCAACTTAACTAAATTTGGAATTAAATAAAAACCCAAGGGCCTGGGTACACATGTGAGGAATTACCCCCCCCCCCCAGTCAGATTTTCTCTGTGTAGCCCTGGCTATCCTGGAATGCAATCTGTAGACCAGGCTGGCCTCAAACTCAGAGATCCGCTTGCCTCTGCCTCTCCAGTGCTAGGGAGGGATTTTTTTCTTTTCTTTCTTTCTTTCACTATTTATTTATTTATTTATTTATTTATTTATTTATTTTGTATACAGCATCCTGTCTGCATGTACATCTGCAGGCCAGAAGAAGGCACCACATCTCTTTACAGGGCTGTGAGCCACCATGTGGATGCTGGGAACTGAACTCAGGACCTCTGGAAGAACAGCCAGTGCTCTTAACCACTGAACCATCTCTCCAGCCTGGGATTTTTTTTTTTTTCTTATATTTTGGCTGTAAGCATAGCCTTTAATGGTTGAGCCATTTTTCTAGCCTGAGGGATTTTTTTTAAATTAGGTAATTTGAAGTGGGAAGACCACCTTTAATTTGGGCCACACCTGTGAGCAGCTCTTTGCCTGCCTGCTCTTACTCTCACTGGTGAGTCCATTCCTTCTTCCCTGGCATCAGAGCCCATTTTTCTGGCATATACTAAAGAGCAGATGAGACATCCAGCCTTGTGGACTAAACAACTACTAGATTCTTTGGACCTTTCATTGGTACATGGCCATTGTTAGACAAGCTGAACCACAGCCTGTAAACTATTCTAATAAATCCCCATAATCTATCTATCTATACCCCCCCGTGTGTGTGTGTGTGTGTGTGTCTGTCCACATACATATGTATGTATACATAATATATAGATTCATTCTGTAAGTTCTTTTCCCCTATAAAACCATGACTAATACAGCTAGAGCTGGGCCCCAGTTGATGAAACTGGGAAGGATTAGGAAGTGTGCTCTTTTTGGAGGAGGTGTGTCACTGGAGTCCGACTTTGAGGTTTCAAAAGCCCCCCACCCTTTCCAGTGTTCTCTCTATCACATGGCTGTGTCTTACAATGTGAGCTCTAAGCTGCTACTGTAGTACCATGCCTGTCTGCCTGCCACCATGTTCCCTGCCACGATGGTGATGGACTTTGATCCCTCTGGAACTGTAAGTCCCAAGTAATATCTGTCTTCTTTTAAGTTGCCTTGGTCATGGAACCTTGTCACAGTAATAGGGTTGTGTGTCTGTGTGTGTGTGTGTTTTTCTCAGGGAGACCATTGCATGAAGCTGTGAAAGTGAAGACAGGATCTTGATAGAGACCCCAAGATACAGGAGATGCAGAGCCTTGAAATGTCTGCCAGGGAGAGAATTGGCCCAGGAGACAGAAGTCAGCCAGGCTGGAAGGGTGGAGCTGCCTATGCCCTTTGACACTGGACATGGAGCTACAAGATTTGGAGTTTGCCCTGCTGGGTTTTGGTCTTGTTTTGGGTTCAGTATTTCCCCACTGTGCCCCATCCCTGTCTTCTAAAATGGAATATATTCTCTGTACTGCATGCTGGAAGCATGTCATTTCCTTTTTGAGTTTGCTTACAGCTACAATTAAGAGATTACCTTGAGACTCAGAGACTTAGGACTTTTAAGCTATGTTGAGACTGTGAACGATGCTGGACCGTTTGAAGATGTACTACAAGCATTATGCATTATGATATGGCCACAAAAATATGGGGCCAAGAAGGGAAAAGCAGTGGCTGAAATGAGAAGGGCCCCCTAGGCATGTGTATTGGAATGGTCGGCCCTGAGCTGAAGGAACTGTTTGGGAAGGAGGAGGAGGTGTGGTCTTGTTGGAGTAGGTGTGTCACTGGGGGCAGGCTTTGAGTTTTCAAAACCCCCAACCACTCCTAGTTAGCTCACTCTGCCTCATGGTTGTTTAAGATGTGAGCTCTCAGTTGCTGCTCCGGTGCCCTGGCAGCTGCCTGCGGCCATGCTCCCAGCTGTGATGGTCATGGACTCTACCCTCTGAAACTACAAGCCCCAAGGAGAGCTCTGTAATCGGCATCTGTCCTTGGTGACCCAAAATGACTCATGATTTCTGGGCCCAATCTAGCACAGTAATTAATGGCAGTCTGGAGAGCTGGTTCACTCTTGTTCTCCTAGGACTGCCACACGTGTGTGTGCATTAGTGCAACCACACACATATACACACAAGAAGAAAACGATAAAATATTATGGGTCCTATTTAGTTCTAATCTGGCTTGCTCTGCTCAAATCCTAGGAAATACCCTTTTATAAGCATTTGAGGGAACCAGGGCTGCGCAGAGGATCTAATTAGCTAAGTGATACCACTGCCACTTCGCCTGTCCCAACAATACTCATGTGGGAAAAGAGATCAGGTCTGGCCAAGTACCACCCACCACCTGACAGAGCCCACAGGGGACAAACAGACAGGCCCTCAGCCCCTGTCCCATTCTGGTGATACTGCCTTTCACCTCTTTCCAGCCCTCAGCATATAGCACCTACCTTGTCAGCAATGTCCTCCTCTGGGCACTCCACAGGCTCTGGGGGAGGGTCCTCCAGGGCCTCCATAGTCAGAGTCCCTGACTGGTGCAGATACCTACAGAAAAGAACCAACAGCAGAGGGAAGAATGGGAAAAAACAAACAATAGGCTCTTCACACAAGAGTACTTCCAAGTCCCTCTGAAAGGAAGAGGCCGGCATCAGAGAGCACAGGCCCTCAAACCTCCTGGGGGGCAGTGTTCTCCTGATCAAAGCACCACTAAGGGGTGTCCCTGGGCCAGATGCCTTTACCAAGAGGCTGGGAATGAGTAGGCAGCCTTCTGTAACCTGAGTCCTCCCTGCACCCTTTGGAGTCTGACAGCACAACATCTCTCCTTGTCAGCTGAGGGGACCAACAGGGTACTTTGGACTAGAGTGCAATAAAACACATCATTCCTCTCCATGGTATGAAACAGTATCAAACCCATGAGAGGCCCGTCAAACATTAATTCAGGACCGTGGCTCCTGTACAGTACACCTCCATGTGTGGATTTTTTTTCTTTTGAGATGAGAGTATTTTGGCTTTTTCACTTAATTACAGTCTTCCTGCTTTAGCCCCATGACTGTAGTGGGTTACTATGCCAGCTCTACAGACATTTTGTTTCTTTCTGTTCTGAGACACATCTTGCCTTGTAGATGTTAGCTGGCTAGTTTAGAACTCAACATGTAGACCAGGCAGGCCTCAAAATGAGAGCTCCACCTGCCTCTGCTGGGATTAAAGGTCTGCACGATCATACCCAGTTTCTATATACATTCTTGACACAGGGTTTCTAGTGTGTTCTCTGTGGTACTAACAGTTAAGGGTCCTGAGGGTGCTGTGAACCCCACGAGTCACTCAGTCACACTTGGTCCAATTGAACTAGGTAAGAACCAAGTATACAGTTCTCTAGGGCACCAGTGCCAGTGGACAAGGATGCTGACTGGCTAGGACCAGTTACCAGCCCTGCAGCCTCATGTAACAGCAAGGACCCCCTGTGATGTTCTTGGCAGGGGCCACTCCTCAGGTGTAGATGCCCGGGCAGGGATCCTTAAATGGCCACTTGCTTTCGGTTCAGACTAACTGGTTCCGCTGGTAAGCTAACTTAGCAGCAGCTCACTCGCCCTTCAGGGCAAAGCTGTGGGCTGAGTTTGTCCCACACCTGGGGCCATGCTCTAACCCTGACAACCTGACACTCACATCTGTGACCCTGATAAAGCATCCAAGCTCACTGAGCCTTCTCTTATGAAATGGGGGACAATCTGCAAGCAAGTAAGGGGTTTCAATGAGGTTTCAACATGAGTATTTTATAGACAGCCTGGGGAAGGAGGTGGCAGACTGAGGATTGAGCTGTGGCCGCTTGGCCTTATCAGTGAACGAGGCTGTTTCCTTTCTCACTGACTGAGCTTGTACATTTCCTTTTTTCCTCCCCCTCATGAATGTTTTACTGGGAAAGGAAGCAAGCCCCTGTGCTCTGAAATTATAAACCCATGCAGCACACGGGGAGGATCACTTACTTCTAGAGTCTGCTCTAGTGTAACCTCGGATCCTCAGAAGGATGCTGACCAACGACAGTACGTTCTCAGTCACTGCTCTTAAACAGGACCTTGCCCTCAATTTGATGCCACACCCAGGACAGGAAACTGCCCACCCTAGACCCTTGAGGACACTCTGGGCAAGGGCCAAGACCTGGGCCTATTTCAGGGTAGGGGAACACACTGCCCCTAAGTGCCCAGCATGTGGCCCTCTTGCTGAAGCTGAGCTTGTCTGGCATAGGGAGTGTGTCAAATTTAATCCCCTGCAAGAAGAGGGGTTCTTCCTTCACCAGCTATACTCAAGAACCCCCAGGAGCCAGGGCTGTGGCCACCAAGAGGAACATGAGGTTTTGCGACTCCCACAGATTCACATTTTGCTCAAGGAGGTAGAAATAAATCTCTGCTGTGAATCCCACTCAGCCAACTCTGTACCAGATGCCTCAGGGAGAGGCCCTAATCCATTTCCACAGATAGGGACATGGAGGGAATAGCCTCATGGACACAGACAGGTCAAAGAGTCACAGCTGGACACTGCAAACACCCACCTTAGCCACAATACATAAAGGGCTGGCCATTCTACAATGGGAATTACATGGCAGCCATTCTGTGTTTCCTGAGAATTCTAGGGACAGAATTAGGAGCACAATGGCTTATAAAATCTGCCTATATGCTTTGATGTTCTGCAGATACAGTGCACAATGTATTTCTTATTCATAAATTAACTATGAATGTCTAATTCATAAATTAACTATAAATTAACTATGTATGAGTTTTGTTGTAACAAATACATCTGACAAGAAAACTAAATTCTGAGACTATTTCAAAGGATCAGACTTCACTGCCCACCCTTCTCAGGTCATGCAAGTCCTCTGACTCTTTGTGATTTTCTCCAGACACAATGCCAAACAGCTACCCTGGCCCTGTCAGCAACTCAGCACAGGAGGCTGAGCTCACGTGGCAGTTCCTCCGGGCACTGTTTGCTCAGGATGAACTGTAGGTACAGCCAGCTGGCCATGGCATTACTACAGTGCAGTCCCTTTACAGCAAGACAATCCCACTAGAGATGCTAGCCGCCAGCGAAGCATCCAGCTCAGTGCGTTCGCTTTTGCTGTGCTCTCATAACTAATAAGAAAGAGACGCTGCAACAAGACTCATGAAATTTATTATCTTTTTGCTTTCTTTCCTTTATTTGGATGGTTTGGAGAATGAACATAATGCTAGGCATGCACTTAATCACTGAGCTATATTACCAGAATTTTTGTAAAATTTTGAAATAGCAGCTAAGTTGAATCTCCTGCCTCAACTTCCCAAGTAGTTATGATTATAGGCCTATAGCAACAGAACAAGCTAAAATTATGATCTTCTTCTTCTTCTTCTTCTTTTTTTTTTTTTTTTTTGGTTTTTTCGAGACAGGGTTTCTCCGAATAGTCCTGGCTGTCCTGGAACTCACTCTGTAGACCAGGCTGGCCTCGAACTCAGAAAACCACCTGCCTCTGCCTCCCAAGTGCTGGGATTAAAGGCGTGCGCCACCACCGCCCGGCAAATTATGATCTTCTGAAGCAAAGACAACATCTTAAAAGCTTCCAGAAAGCGAAAAGCCACAGAGAAACAAGTTGTTAGACTTAGTAGCAACTCTAGTACCGGCTGTGACCAATGACTCCAGAAAAATCTAAGGGAAACCATAACCTTAACCCAAATCAACTAAAGGACACTCCCAGTCAGGGTCTCGCGTTTTACCTCCGGGCCCCTCCCTTCTCAGGAAGATACACAAAACAAATAGAAGAAAGACAGGGGCAGGGAGCTGCATGACTCAGTCTCTGAAACAAACTCACAAGGTCTCAGGAGGCATGCCATGACCCTAGCTGTGAAACCAGGGGATGGATACCCTGTACAAACAGGAGGGAATACTCCCTCATAGCCCCACGAGAAGTCTGGCCAGTGGAGACTGGATGGACTCGGTGGCAGCAGCAACTTGTCTTAGAAGGAAACACAGTACTACCTGATCCTGGTCTTAAGAATGGAGTCAGAGTCTTAGACCCTGAACAAGGACTTCAATAAAGACTGTCCAGGAGCCAACTGTCTGGCAGAAGCACAACTCACCTTCTATAGCAGGAAGAAGACAGCAGCCAAACTCCAAAAACAAAAGCTGGCCTTTAAGACTCTAGCAAGAGCTAGCCACAAGGTGGTGGTGCACGCCTTTAATCTGAGCACTTGGGAGGCGGAGGCAGGTGGACCTTTTGAGTTTGAGGCCAGCCTGATCTACAGAGTAAGTTTCAGGACAGCCATGACTACACAGAAAAACCCTATCCCAAAAAACAAACAAAACAAGACAAAACCAAACAACAAAGACAAAAATCTCCCACAAAACACCAAAACAACCCCCCTCCCACAAAAAACAAAAACCAAGACTCTATCAAGACCTATTCCCCACCCTCTCTCCTCTCCACGTGAGCCATAGGGCTGGCGAGACCACAGGTTGGGCAGGCGGCCACACAGAACCAGCTCTATGAGGCTGACTCCTATAGCAGACACAGGGAGACTGCTGCCCATTCCAGCCCTTATAGGGAGTGTGTAAGGCCAGAGGGAACAGGAGAAGCTGCTATGAGCCCCAGGTCCAGATCCAAACCACAGCCCTAGAAATCCTCCACAACCATTCCCCTCAACTGTTTCCATCCCAAACCATGAAATGTAACTTGAAAGTCTGAAAAACCAAACCAAATCTGGAAAAGAGTATTTTCTAAAACGTTGTTCAGAATCTATGACTACAAGTATATTTCACAAGATTTTCAGCAAATGATCAAGGCTCTGCCTACCTTGCCACCTTCTTGCTGGAGAGCCGCTTGGCTGGGCTGTGCAAAAACCAAACAAACAGGAAAATAGTGTCAGGGAACAGACCAAAGGACAGGAGGAAACAGGAAGCTTGGGCTGGGGAGATAGCAGGGCACAGGCATGCAGCCCCTTGCCCCCAGTAAGCCGCATGCACAGAATACCCACCCTGCAACGCCGAGGACATGCATGGCACCGTTTGTAAAGGTCCTCACTAAGTCTCAGCTCCTGAGCACTCAAAAGAAACCAAGCCCAATGCCAAAACCCACCAGCTGACTGCACCTGGCTCCACATCATTGGCCACTGTCATGTCCCCAAGTGTTTCTGAAGCCATTATCCCAATTGACTGGCCCTCCTGTGATAGGAGAGTGTGTAATCATTTTGACTTGGGTCCTGAAACTTCACACTGCAAATATCTGTAGGGTGGGGATTTAGAAACCCTTCCTGGAGCCATCCCAGAGCAATAACACGGGCTATCTGCAGCAGCAGGAACACGCCTCTTCTGACTCTGAGACAATCAGAGCACGGCCTCCCTTTAAAGCTGTGGGTGTGTGTTCAGGCACAAGAACCACCTGTTTCAGCTCACAGCCTCCTTTTCCTCTTTCAAGGGCCAGGCAGGCAATCTACCTGGAGTGGTGCATGCAGCACAGGTCACCCCTTTATCACTTCAGCTGGGTTCAGAATCATCCTTTGTGGTGGCTCTGGGACATAACACTGCTGGGATATGCTTTCATTTGTGATGCTACATTCTGCCAGTAGAGGGCACTGGAGAGATGAAGCCGATAGCATGGTGCCGACAGACGGCTCAGCTGTGCCCTTTCCACAGGGCTACAGACTGCTGAAGGGTGGTAGTGGGATTTGGACCCCTTGGGTGCTGTTTGCTATTCCTGCTCCTCAGAATTCTTGTCATTGCACTGGTAGGCAACTTGTGTACCTCCTCTCATGGCCTGGTCCCTGAGCAGCTACTGTTTGGCTCCCCCTCCTGACTGGACTCCTGACTAGCACGGTGAATGACGGACACTCCTAGGACAATTAGAACAGATTGCTCTGTGTAGCCATCAGCCTCTGAACCAGCAGATTTTCAAAAGAAGAACACAGCAGCTACTAGAGTGCTGTGTGGCCCTTCCAGTTCATGAAGCTTATCCTGAGGCAGTCCATGCAGGTCGGAGACACGACTCGGCTCTTTCAGTAGAATCCGGGTACTATTAGTTGTGTCCTAACTAACATTAAAGTCTCTCTATACCTACAGAGCCTTTGCCTGGGAGAGGTTCCATTCATCATGCTGAGCCACATACTGGTCTGACCCTCGCCCCACAAGGCCTAACTCCATGATCATCACCATCTTCAAGGCAGGTTTTGAACACTGGAAACATCTTCAATGACTAAGACAACACACATACCTTCCTTCAAGACATATCTGTAACTTAAACCCACTGTCAATGGTAGGATGGCTCACCAGCAGGAGGAACACAGCTGGCACCTTCCGAGCACTGAACACATGGCAGGGAAAGCCTGTGTGTTCTACGCTGGCAACCACAAGGGGTTCTGGAATCACCAGGGACCAGATTTTTATTTTCAAGTCTTGCCAAAATATGCCCTCAAAGAATACTATTGGTTTTGTGACCAGGACCCCACCAGGTTCCCCCTGATCTTTCCCAAGTGGCCAAGGCCCTACTCCACTGGGTATTGGCTAAAGGCCTCTAGCTTTGTGATGCTGTGTAGAACACAGGAAAAAAGCTAACATGTCATGGGTACCATGACGGGAGCTGGAACAGGACAGAGGTGTCAATCCAGTCTGGCTGAAGCCCTGCAATGGTAGGGCAGAAAAGGGGCAGTCTCTAACAGGCCTCCAAGCATGCTCAACTCGCAGGATGCTCTGACTTTCTGCCATAACAGTGCTGCCACCAGGAACCTGTGTGGCCACTTGCCTCCTGTGCTCAACAGGAGGTGCTATCAGTACCTTCACATACAGCCCTTCTCCAGACTCTTCTCCTAAAAGTCCCGTAGCCAAGGGCGTGTTCCTCTTCTCACTGAGTCAAGAACGTCTGGCAAATGTTGAGATGAACAAAGAACCCAAAGATGTTTCCTATGAGTCTGGAAAGTTGCAAGGAGCCAGCAAAGGGAACTTGGCTGGAATGCTGGTCCTGCTGGGATTGTTCACAGAGACAGCAGGACAAAGGGCAGAGATGAGAAATGCACAGGAGACCAGGCAGAGGGGCAGCAGCATGAGGTATAAGAGCAAAGGAGCAATGTTATATCCCTCTGAATTTCAATGTACATCCACCCTACAGAACGAGGCCTCCAGAGCACAGGTGATCATGACTAAACTAGCATTCCAGAAAACGATCTACTTATGAATTTTCTTCAGTTTTTTTCAAGATAGGGTTTCTCTGGTAGCCCTGGCTGTCCTGGAACTCACTCTGTAGACCAGGCTGGCCTCAAACTCAGAGATCTGCCTGCCTCAGCTGGACTAAAAGTGTATGCCACCACTGCCCAGCAACAAATTTGATTTCAAAAACCCATCTTTAAATTCCCCAGCTCTACTTCCTGTGACTCATTTTGGTAAACTGCTGGAGTGTCTTCTTTAACATGTTAGATTGTCTCCTCCTACAGGGCTGACAGCCAGCAAGGTTCCCACATGCATAAAGGAGAAGGGACATATGCAGCAAGCTAGATCAAGGCATGCAGGAATAACTGGGCTGTAGGAAGAGTCCCATTGTCAGAGTGCCTTGCTAGAAGATGTGACCAGAGCAGGAGCACTTTGGACTTCACCCAGGAATGGGAAGCACTGCAGTGGGAGTCTCCCGTCAGCACAGGGTAAGACTAGGTCCTGCACATTACCTATTCATCTCAAGATCAGTCAGGCGGGCAGAAAGGTCTTCAAGGCGGTTGATCTGTTTGTGGCACTGGCTACAGTAAAACTCAAAGGCCTCGTCAGTGAGGACATTGCACAGTTTTGAGGCAAGAGGGTTGGAGCTAGAAAGACAGAGGGTCAGTCAGGAGAGAGGAGGCCCAGTTAGGTTATCTTTGCCAGGAACAAGGGAAAAGGTGTGAAAGACACAAGTCAGAAGCATAGAAAGAGAATGAACTGTCCAAGGTGTTGGCTGTGCTCTTGGGACTACCATGAGCCCGTCCTCACATCGCCCTGAGGAGCATGGACACCCACCAGCTGGACACATGCCCCCTGCTGGGCAGTGCACAAAACCAGGCAGTGAGAGCTATAACAAAACCCTACTAAACAGGAAGGTAAATGTATCCACAGCCTTCACCCCTGTGGAAGTCACCTGAATGTGACATCAAAGTGTATCTCCAGGAGAATTTATTTGCTAGATTTTTGTCGTAATTTTGAGATGATATTACTGTCTCAAACAAATAAAAGGTGCATTGGCAAACTTGTACTTTTGAGATCTGTGCTAACTTGGGATTCTGTCAACCTTCTGGGGATGTTGGGGCTGAGCTCCCATGATTCCAGTTCAAGGAGCTCTTAGTGGACTATCATGATGCATCTGTTCTGGGCACTGAAGTCAGGTGGGCAGCCTCATCCCTAGGGGAGGACCCACAGGCTATGGGAAGCTAATCTGGAAGTTCAACTTAAAGAACAATAGAAAGGAATATATAAAATGTAGCATGGAAATTACAATTTAGATTGAAAACACCAGGCAGGAGATGGGGCAAACTTCACAAACAGGAGGGGCTGCCACATGGATGCAGAAATGCCAAATTCTGGAATAAGTCCACTACTTCCAACTCAAAGTCCCTGGGACTCGCTGCAGGAGGACTGAGCACCCAGGATGCACTGAGAGAGCCCGTTTCACAGCCAGTGTACTTTTGAGGTGGCATATGAGCAGGAGGGCCCAGGGGTAGCTTACAGAAGGCCCTCCTAGCACTGGTTCCACATGTCTGTGCTGCCATGGTAACTGAGCTGAAGTACACACAAAAGGATCACAAAATTCAGGAACATGAAAGCAAATAGGAAATGTCGGCAATACTGAAAAGCTGTCCAGCCAGGCCCAGGCCCCACTGAGAGGAATGTTCAGGAGGAGAACCTGGGTCTCCAAACAAACCAGGCACGGTCTATGGAGCATACAAGTCAATGTCCCGAGTCACAACTTAAGAGAGACAACTTCATCTTGCCTACTAGGTATCATAGCTCAGTTTACTTAACGCTAGAAATTTTCAGAAAATTTGGGCGATATCAGCATATGGCAGAGCCTGGCTTATGATTCTACAGTGTCCCTCAAAGCCAGCCACAGGCCATAGAGTGATTAGTGACAGACAAGAGGGTCTCAACTAGCCTTCACTCTGGGACAGGCTCAGTATTTCTCTGTGTGGTTTTAGCTACACAGCATCAGACAAAGCAAGCCTCCTGACCAGCACAGGACCCAACAGAGAAGTTTCCCCATTACTAGGTACAGAGGGGGACTGATCATGAACAGTGCAAGGTGTCACCTGGGGGTGAGAAAAGCAGGGTCTTCACAGTCCAGCTCCCCATTACAGAGGGTCTCCGGGGACAGTTCTGCCTCACTGCCCTCACCATAATCTTCAAAATGTTCCTCACTGCCAATCACCATGACGACAGCTTGGCTGTGGGGGCCGGATCTACAAAAGACAGACAAGCAGTTCTGAGTCACAACGACAGGCACCTGATGGGATACATACTATTCGGCAAGCCATGAGCCTAAGCCCCATCACCACAGGAACCACACTGCTACAACAGAACAAAAGCAGACACAGGAGAAATCCATTTCCAAGAAGTAAGCTGCCACCTAAGCCATTCAATAACAGGTACGGAACATCACTTCAGAGGGGCTGCTCATCTGGGATACGGGAGACAGTAAGGTGACAGATCATGCTAAGAGCTGTCAGTAGAGTCAGACCTTCTGACTCGGACCACAGTGCTCGAACAGGGTTGTGGCTCTCAGTTTGACATCCATGAAACTCACATACATGGCCAGTCTTAGCAGCTGGACACCACATCAGTAAAAGGGTAGGATCTGGTGCTGTCACAGCTGTCCTTCTTACCTGTATATTCCTTATTTGGATCAGCTAAGGTGTAAAGAAATAGAACAACTTGCACTGGGTGATGGTGGTGCAAGCCTTTAATGCCAGCACTTGGGAGACAAAGGCAGGTAGATCTCTGTGAGTTCGAGGCCAGCCTAGTCTAGAAAGCAAGTTCCAGGGCACCCAGGGCTACACTGAGAAATCTTGTCTCAAAAAACAAAACAAACAAAAAAATATATAAAACAAGAAACTTCACAGATAAATAATTAAGTCTTTCGGTAACTTTTTTTTTTTAGTGCTGGGGCTGGAACCTAGGACTTGTGGACATTAAACAGTCAACCTGTTTGTTGTTATTATTGTTGCTTTGAGACAGGGTCTCACTATGTAGCTCTTGGTTGGCCTGCAACTCAAGATGTAACCCAGGCTGGCCTCAAACTCAAAGATCTACCTGCCTCAACATCCTGAGTGCTGGAATCAAACATGTATACCACCATACCTATCAATTTTTAAGTTTTAAATGATTTTTTTGTTTATTCTTTATTATGTCCATATGTGGTCAATGCAGAGAGTCACAAAGATATGTGAATATTATGTCCTCCAGCTCTGACCTGAAAATTGTGGTAAAGCACTAGGCATGGTGGCACAGTCCTTTAATCCCAGTATTTGGGAGGCAGAGGCAAGCAGATCTCTGTGAGTCCCAAGCAAGTCTGCATAGTGAATTTCATGACAGCCAGAGACACGTAGTGAGACCATGTTTAAAAGAATAATTTTGTCCTGTGGTGGTGATGTACACATTTAATCCCAGCACTTGGAAGAGAGATATAGGCAGATCTCTGAGTTCAAAGCCAACCTGATCTACAGAGCAAGTTCCAGGACAGCTAGTGCTACTCAGAGAAACCCTGTCTCGAAAAAACTAGTAGTAGTAGTGGTAGTGGTAGCAGTAGTAGTAATATTCTAACTGTGTGAATGGGTTGAGGTCATAGCTCAGTGCTTCTGAATATGAGCATTAGCTTCTGGGGCTGGAGAGATAGCTCAGAATACTGACTGTAATTCTCGAAGGGCCCACATGGCAGCTCACAATGTCTACAACTCTGGTTCCAGGGGATCCTGTACTCCCTGTAAGGCTTTGCAAGCACCTGGACTCACATGCACATACTGATGTGAGTTCACACATATGTGCATGCAAGCGCACACATGCACACACAATTTAAAATAAAAATTCTTTTTTAAAAAAGTGCTTGCGTAGCGCACACCAAGACTTGAATTTGATCACCAATACTGCATAAAACTGGTCATCATGGTACACACCTATAATTCCATCCCTCAAAAAAGATTAGAAACAGTATCATACTTGAACACATAGCAAGTTCAAGGCCAACCTAGGATATTTGAGACCTTATTTTAAAAAAAGAACTGTACTTACAAATGTCAGAAGACTAAGCTAAGGTTTATCTCTTATAATTTCTCTGTCTCAATAGCCAGTCATTAAGACATTAAGTCCAAGAGAGTTCTAGCAGGAGAAATATGGATCTCATAAGTGGATGTCAGCAGGATGGAAACCACACAGGTGCAACTCCACAGACAGCAGGATGCTGCAGATGGCTCAGACAGCACAAAATGGGGACCCCATAAGGACACGCACACGAATTCACACAGAGTACAGACCTGCCTGGGAGCAGCAGCAATGCCCCATGGTCAGGCTCCTCCATGGTGTCCAGGCACTCGGAGAGCACCCCTGAGCCACCAGCACTGTCTGCGTCCCCTTCAGGCTGCAGCTCGGGGTGCACCAGGGTGCTGGTGTCCTCATCTGTGAAGGTCTCACACTCACTGTAGGTGCTCTCTGACCCCATGTATGCACTGTCTGTCACCTCGTTGGCCTAGGAGAGAGAACCGACAGTTAGCCTGGGCAGCTATAGAGGCCACACTGCAGAAAGGATACGGCGGTAGCAAAACTAACAACCACGTCCCTAAACATCAACACTAGCTTATAAATCAGAACTCAGGGTGTGTGTGTGTGTGTGTGTGTGTGTGTGTGTGTGTGTGTGTGCAGACTAAAAGGGCTTCTCAGATGCCCTATGTGTTGTTCTGCAATTTAGCTGCACCCTCAGCCTCTTATTTTTAAAACGAAAGAAAAAAAAGGACAAAATTATACATAAAGGTGGACATGGTGGAGCCAGCCTGTACTCCTGGCACACAGAAGACAGGCTAGGAAGACTATGAGTTCAAGGCCATCCTGGGCTTAATAGAAAAATCTTGACCCAAAAACCAGAAGTGTAGTCATTCTGCAATCAGCTGAATAATCACACATCTAAAGATACCAAGCCTCCCGGAGCCACAGATGTTCCCAGCAGAACCACTTGTTTTGTGGCTTCCAGCATGTTACTTATAGTCAAGGAGCTAACATACAACAGTATAAGATTATGCCATTTAAGATTAATACTTTACCAGCTAGCAGGATGGATGGCTCAGTGAGGAAAGGCACCAGGCACCAAGCCTAATGATCTGAGTTCAATCCCCAAGACACACATGGTAGAAGGAAAACTGACTCTCACAAATTGTTCCCGACCTACATACACACAGTGTGGCACGCCCCCACCATAAACACATATAAAATTAGTAACATAAAAATGTGCTGGATGGTGGTAGTGCACGCCTTTAATCCCAGCGCTGAGGAGGCGAAGGCAGGCAGATCTACATAATCCAGCCTGGTTTAGAGTTCCAGGACAGCCAGGGCTACACAGAGAAACCCCCAAATACCCAAATAAATAAGCAAACAAACTCCAATAAAGATCAAATTAAGGCCAGGCAGTGGTGGTACACGCCTTTAATCCCAGCACTTGGGAGGCAGAGGCAGGTTGATTTCTGAGTTCGAGGCCAGCCTCGTCTACAGAGTGAGTTCCAGGACAGCCAGGGATACACAGAGAAACCCTGTCTTGAAAAAACAAAACAAAAACAAAACAAAAAGATCAAATTAAGATGTCACCAACAACAGCTATTTTACATGTGTAGACTACTGCTGTTTGGTTTTGTTCTGTTTGGTTTTGAAATAGGGTTTCTCTGTTAAGCCCTGGCTGTCCTAGAACTTGTTCTATAGACCCGGCTATCCTAGAACCCAGAAATCCACTTACCTCTGCTTCATGAATGCGGGGATTAAAGGCATGCACCACCATGTCCAGCCACGCTGCTGCTTTGAAATGTGAAGTCAAGGGCTAACCTCTACTGCTTATTGATGAGTCATCTAGCCAACTTTTATAGTTCAATGTCTGTTTTCCCAAACATAATTCTATTTTCCCCTTTTAGACACAGCACCCAGCACAGGGCCCAAATTATGACAGGCAGTCAGAACTGAAATAATACTAATGAGCTTAAAAGTAAAGAAAGATGAAAGATGATGGTTTCTACTTATAATTTCAATTTTAATTGCAATGAATTTGCAAGTTAGGATAAGCCTGTCACTTCATATTCAGAAGATTCTGAGGTTAAAACATTGTAAACAGGATTTCAGAAAACTTGCAGTTCTAGCAGGAAAAAGATGCCCTTTGTCCCCGAGGTCTAGTGTTCCGAGGAGTGTGGGGCCAACAGCATCCACCTGAGGCTGTGACCTCCGGGAAGACCTGGACTTCTAGGCTGATGGGAAGTCAGCTCTAATCTTGACCACCACTAACAGCATGTGACCTCAGACACATGACTCATACCTGGAGCTTCAATCAAAAAGGGAGCTAAAAATACTCATCATGAGGATCCCAGTGGATAGACGGGTCATCTTCACCATTCCTTCTCAGAGCAAGGAAAAAGCAAGACTGCAGAATACCTAAGACTCCAAAGGATACAGATCTATCAGTATTAAAAAAGCAGCCAAGCTAAAATCTAACCAAAGCCAGTCAATGGTGGTACACACATTTAATTTCAGCACTTGGGAAACAGAGACAGGCAGTCTCTCTGAGTTCAAGTCCAGCCTGGGCTACATAATTAGCTCCATGCTGCCACAAGGTGATATAGTGAGACCCTGTGTTTACAAGAAAGTGACCTCTGCGGTCCAGTTCTGTTTTGCCCATCCTAAGCCGCTCTATCCAGAATGAGGCAGGGTAGGATTCCATCCTGGAAAAGCCAGTTGAGAGAGACTAGAACAGCAGGCAGGCACCGGCATCTGTCAATAGTCTGGCATCAACAGGAGATGATAGACAAACTGGACACAAGCCCTAGTACAGGCTCCGATGGTCCATGAGTGGAGGCCCCTAGTCATTTACCCAGGCACTAAATGAACAAACAAGCAAGCAAACAGAAAAACATGGTTTTTTAGTAGTAAGCAAAAACTTGTACAAGAATATTGTAGAATGCTGCCCCTGCTCCACAAGCATGGCCCCGTAAGAGTCCCTGCCTAGCACCAAGATGTGGCCCCTACAGTACAGGAGCTTGCAAAACCCATGAGCTCCAACCTTTGAGCTGGACAAGGTCCCAGCACTGACCTGGCAGGACCTTCCAAAGACCTAAGAATAGGTTTCTGATTGTAATAGAATATGAACCTTAAAGTAGCTTTTAAAAACTTTAGACTCACACTTTTGTTTTTTGTGTATGTTTTGCCTTCACGTATACATGTGCACAACATGTATGCTTGTTGGTTCTCCCAGAGCTGGGTTTGTGGATGGTTGTAATCCCCCATCCGAGTCCTGGGAATTGAACCCAGATCCTTTACAACAGCAACAAGTTCTCCTAACCACTGAGCCACTGGCTCCAACTTGAGGAAACTGGTTTTTTGTTTGTTTTGTTTTTTGAGACAGGGTTTCTCTGTGTAGCCCTGGTTGTCCTGGAACTCACTCTGTAGACCAGGCTGGCAGAGATCTGCTTGCTTCCTCTATGCTGGGATTAAAGGTGTACATGACCACTCCCAATTTGAGGTAGCTTTTTAAAAAGCCAACCCATAGTGGGGTTTTCTGCAGATTTTTTTGTCTCATATAGTTTCTGTTTGTACATTTTTTTTTATCTTACTGGCCTTTTGTTTGTATATTATGGTTTCTGATTTTGTGTTTTTATGGGTATTGTTTCGTCTATATATGTGTGTGTCTCTCTGTGTGTATGTGTGTGTATTTCTTGGGCTTTTTTATATTTTTATTTTTAATTTGCTTTTCTAAAACAAGAGAGAGACAAAAAGAAGGTATGAAGTTGGATGGGTAGGGAAGTAAAGAGAATCTGGGAGGAGATATGGAAGGAGAAACCAGAATCAGAATATATTGTATGAATTCAGCTAAAAAATAAAAATGTCAATAGGCAATGGTGACATACACCTTTAATCCCAGCACTCAAGAGGCAGAGGCAGGAGGATCTCATGAGTTCCAGACCAGCCTGGTCTAAAGAGTGAGTTCTAGGATAGCCTTTGCTATACAAAGAAACACTGTCTCCAAAACAAAAAACAAAAAACAACAACAAAAAAAATGATAACAAAAACCCAGGACCAACAAGATGGCTCAGATCCTGGAGTACAGCAGTACACGCTTTTAGTCCCACACTGGTGAGGCTGACAGGCAGGTCTCTGAGCTCTAGCACCAGAGGAGACTACAGAGTAAGACGCTGTCTCAAAACAAAAGCAGAAAACAGATGGTTCATCTCATAAAAGCACCTCCCATCAATCAAGACCTACTGGAGTTTGGTCCCCAGGACCCAAATGGTGGACGACGAGAAAGGACACTCAAAAGCTGTGACCTCCACAACTGTGCTGTAGAGCATGTACCTTGCCTCTCCACTGATGTTGTCTTTTTTTTTTTTTTTTTTTTTTTTAGGGTGGTGGTTCGAGACAAGGTTTCTCTGTGTAATCTCAGCTATCCTAGAACTAGCTCTGTAGACCTGGCTGGCCTCAAACTCACAGAGATCCCCTGCCTCTGTCTCCCGAGTGCTGGGATTAAAGGTTTGCCACCACCGCCTGGCAAATATAGTAACTTTTTTTAAAAGCCTACTAGTACATATGCCAGGTCCTCACTGCTGCCCCCTGGTCACGTACACCCTGGGTTTCCAGCATAGCTGGGACACTTGTAACAACACGTGTAACAAGTTCTCAGAGCAGTTAGCACCTTTCCTTCTGGGAAGGAACAGCAGCCTGAGGCTAGAGCCTATGCATTTCATGGAGTTCCTATGATGCTCAGGGCGGTGTTCCTGGAAGCAGACCAAGGACAGCACCTTCCATGGAGCTTGGGCAGTTCTCAGGACAGAGTTACTCTACCAACACAAGGGCAAAGAGGCAAATGTCCACATCTCCATCTGTCCCACAGATCCTGGAGGGAGGCTGCCCTCTCAACCCATTTCTAAAGTAGTCATCCCTTCTGCACCGCTGTGGAGTAACTGAACAACCCCAGTCACAAAGAAGGTGACATGATTGCATGTGTACTTTCATTTACTTCAAAGTAGCAAAGGTCAGAAGATCCCATAACCGAGCACTGCAAAACAGTACTCAGGCGCCTCTGTGGGATGGAGGCCACAAACATGAAGCCCCAGAGTGCTCACTAATATCCCACCAGAGGTAAACCAGCCACAAAGAGACTGAGAGGAAGGCATTGTGAGAACAGGTGCTCAGCTCGGATCCTGCCCTGTGCCAGGTCCTGAGACTCAGGTCTTCCGTTAGCTGCTATTGTGCAAGGGGCCCTGTATAGGTGCAAATGAGCTAACTAGCAAATCTGTTTTTCTAAGACCCTTCAAAACAGGCAAAAACAAAACAAAACAAAACACCCACTACTGCAGTTGACAACAGACATTGCAAACACAGCACACAGCATCATCACTGAGCTACATCTACCAGCCAGTTAGGACCTAGCTTTGCCGAGAAGCTAACAACTCTGTATTATCAACTCCTAAATTATCACTAAAGTAAAGATGAACTCCCATTAAAGTCAAGGTGCCTTAAAACACTTTCTAGTATGTCATTACACTCACGAGTCACCAGATTGTCCACATCACAAGAGACAGATGAGATCCTTGTTCAGGCTGCTACATATGGCTAACACTGTCCCACAGTTCCCAGAGTCCAAGCTATGGTTCCTCCTTCCACAAGCCATTCTGTTCACAGAAACAGAATTCAGGCACAGCGCAGTCTCAGATCTCTTCTTACCCTCAGGTGATGGCCAGACACCTTCACGGGCCTGCTTCTGAGGGCAGACTCTGGGAAGGGTGTGTTTCTGGAGACGATCTCATCATTCATCCCTGCTCACCAAGTCACTCCTCATTGACTGTCACCTTCCTGTTTGTCAGCCATGCTGGTGTTCCTGTAAAATCCATGTGCCCATCTGAAGGCACATCACCACCTCAGACAAAGTTTAACCTGCTCCCAGACACGCTCTATTAAGCCTGCTGCTGCTGTCCAGGTGGGGAGAGGCAAAGTCCAGGAAGAGTCCTTGCTGGCCTTAACAAACAGGCAGGGCACAAAAGACGGCAACTTTGTTGTACACTTTAACCTTCCTGATAACAGTTTACAAAGACACATTCTCATCATCTCATTAACTGGTCTCTTCCCCAGCTCCTGATAGTAGGACAGGAGGGAGGCACAAAGAAAGCACAGGCAGGACAATTCTGGGACACTCTTATCATCCTGGTCCTGCCTGTTCTCAGGGTGACTTCCCCGCTGCCCTCCCAGCAATCCTGATAAGTGGGTTCTACCCACTGTGGCCTATCCTCCCTCTGCCAGCTCGGCTTTCTTCTCATGATCATTCCTACAAACCTTAGCTCTCAACTCTTCCCCACGGCCCTTGGGACTTTCAGCAACATTCTCCCGTTTCAAAGCTAAAAGCCCAAGGGGTCTCTGGGAAAGTGCTACTAGGAGCCAAGCCAGCTACAGGAGGCCCTAACAGGGACTACAAGTAATGACTTCTGCCTACATGGACACATCAATGTCTACCCAAGTCACAGCCTTAACAGGAACGATTTTCAGCAAAACAGTAAAATGCTAATCCTCTCTAAGTACCAGTGAAGATCCAAATTTGGCATCTGGATTTGGCATGTAGGTTCTCTACTTTAAAAAATGCTAGAGCCAGGCGGTGCTGGCGCATGCCATTAGTCCTAGCACTTGGGAGGCGGAGACAGGCAGATTTCTAAATTGGAGCCCAGCCTGGTCTCCAGATCTGGATTCCAGGACAGCCAGGACTATACAAAGAAACCTTGTCTCAGAAAAAAAAAAAAAAGTTGGAAGCCAGGATCTCAGTGCTTGGGAAGCAGAGGTAGATGGGATCTCTGTGAGTTCAAGGCCACTCTGGTCTACATAGCAAGTTCTAGGACACTGAGGGCTATATAGAGAGACCCTGTGTCAGAATACATACAAACCGAGGCCAGGCAGTGGTGGCGCACACCTTTAATCCCAGTACTTGAGAGGCAGAGGCAGGCGGATCTCTGAGTTCGAGAGTTCGAGGCTAGCCTGGTCTACAGAGTGAGTTCTGGGACAGCCAGGGCTACACAGAGAGAAACCCTGTCTCGAAAAAAAAAAAAAAAAAGAATACATACAAACCAACATGTTTTTGATTCCTTGTTGGTTGGCTGAGACAGGGTCTCACTATGTAGCTCTGGCTGTCCTGGAACTCACTGCCTTCAAAATCACAGAGATGTACTTGACTCTTGCCTCCCAAGTGCTAGGAAAGAGAGTGAGCCACCATGTCTGCTAACATCTTTTGTTAAAGATATGGTATTATATAGTCCAGGCTGGTCTATATATCTCAGGGTGTATCTCAGAGTGTCACCAAAGAGTACCTGAATTTCTGATCCTCTTGTTTCCACCTCCCAAAAACTGGGAAGGCAGCCTGTACCATGATGTCTAGCTATTTTATTTTAAAGAACAATCTCGCTGAACGCTGAATATATGTTCATAGCATATCTAGTTCTAAAAACTGCACCTGCAAATCTGAGAAGCAAGTCACGGAAGAACCATAAGCACCACTGAGAAGAGCAGGTCTGAGGGGCATCCTGAGAATCAGCAAAATCAGAAAGACAACTCTGAAAAACCAGGGGCAGACAGGGGCCTGTGGGCCTGGTAGAGCACAGGGAACTTCCTGAGTGGGAAACTATAGTGTGTGATACTATCCCAGAGACACAACTCCATGTATACACTGTAAACGTTGGTCAGCACTGAAGTATCAGCTGTGCCCCACCATACTAATGGGAATGCTATGGTAAGGCATCATGCAGATATCCCCTGCACAGCTTGATCCATGTGCTTAAAATTCAAACCTTCAAAAAAAAAATCTTCCCATTTTTTTAAGAGTAAACAAAAACTTAAAAATGTTTCTCGCATCTAAAATAGAAATCAGCGTGCTGAGACAGATGGTTCAGTGGTTAAGGGTGCTTACTGCTCTTCCACACAACCCAGTGTTGAGTCTCAGCACCCACAGGGCATGGCTCACAACTTCCTGTAACTCCAGCTCCAGGGAGCAGAAGCCTTGGGCCTCCACATTCATATGGACACACAGACACACGTAATTAAAAATAAGCCTTTAAAAGAGAAATTAGGATTAGGACTAAAAAACCTTCATTAGCCCTCAAAAGGAAGCTACTTAGACATTACAGGGTCCCAGCCCCTTGTGTGACCAAGGAGACAAGGTTCTGAAAACTTGCTACAAGGAGCCTTAGATCTCACCAGCCTATAGCACTCAGATGTCTGAAAGGCTGGCATCTGCCATTTCTACCAGTATACCAAGGGCTCAGGTGTAATTCCATGTTTTCGAGATTGGTCTCACTTGCATTGCCGGGCTAGCTGGGATCTTCTGGGCCCAAGGGCCCAAGGATCCTGTCTCTAAGCCACCCTGAGCACCAGGACATCACCTCCATGTATTTTGAATAGAAATCCCTGTAGACAGTCACATGACCCCAGATTCAGCTCTCTCTAGTCTGCTAGGTAGTTACAGTAGTCTGCCTTCCTTGGCTGTAACTTTGTCCCCAGTAGGAGACAAGGAACCCACAGTTACAGGACACATCACACAGCAGAACTCTGGTTTTCCCCGGAAGTAGACAGTGAGGGATACAGGGCAGGAGGCAGGTTAGTCAGTGTTCCCAAACATAGACAATTATTGTTACGTTCGCTAAGGGAAACCTTTCAACTTCTTTGGCTATGCCTGTGCCTAGTAGAATGTGACACGGCAAGGACACCACAGAGCCTAACTGCCCACAAACCTTTATTCCACAACGGGCCCATGGGATGACTTTGAACAAGTAGAGTTTGAACCCAACCAGGTCAGTGAGAATAGTTTGTGGTTTCTGCCATAGCCTAGATTCCTCAGAGCCCACCCCCCATGTGCACAGGGCATAGCGCTCTGTGAAGGCAGCTGTGGCAGCTCCAGAAGCAGGAGCTATGGCACAGGGGAGGGAGAATTGGGGTTCATGTGAGGAGAGCACTTGCCTCATAGGTGACAAAGTCATCAAACTCATCGGCACAGGCAGGGGGCTCTTCATCTTGGACAGGCTCCACATTGTACAGCTGGCCATCAGGATCTGTGGAGAGAAGACCCGGCCTCAGCAGGCCACTCAGTGCTGTCCATAAAGTCCAAGGTAAAGGTCAGAGTGTGAAGCAAGGAGTCCTAAGGAAGGCTGCTTCTAGGGCTGAGAGGCCATGATGCACATGGAGGAGAGTCACTGCTACAGAAGGGAGTGAGTGTCCCTCAAGCAGGGGACCCCAGGGAAGGCAGGGGTGGGGTGGGGTGGGGGGATGGGAATGAAAGCAGATGGTGAGAAGCTGGTGTGGTTTTTTTTTCTTTAAAGAATCAGACAACATTATAAGGAAAAGTGCAAGATACCAAATTTTACAAAAGCATACAGCCTTGAGAAGGGCTCCATACAAAGTGGACCAACACTACCAATGTGTTGTCTGTGGGGCACTGAGCAGTATCGTGCCCAGGCATGGCACTCGGTGGCTTTATGTTCCTCTGGTTAACTCTCTTATATAAGAAAATGTGGGTCTGGACCAGCTAGAAAAGTTCAATGGACAAAGGTGCTTGCCACCATGTCTGACACGCTGAGTTTAATTCCTGGAACCCACACTGTCAAAGTACAAAACCAAGTCTCAGATGTTTTCTGACTTCTACATGCATGCCTGACACACATGTCCACACATATGTATACATGCTGATTCCCAATAAATAGAAAAGTGAAAATATTTTACAATATGAGGTTTGTTTTAAGGATTTTTAATTGCCTTTATTTGTGAGACAGGGTCTATGTAGCTCTGGATGCCTGGGAACTCACTGCATAGACCAGGTTGGCCTGGAACTCAGAGATTCATCCACCTACCTCTGCCTCCTGATTGCTGGAATTGAGTGTGTAGGATACCATACCTGACCTATTTTTATTATTTATGTGCATGTGTGTATGTGTGCCCACAGAGGCCAGAAGAGGTGATTAGATTTCCCCAAAGATAAGAGTTACAGGCAGTTGTGAGTCACTTGAAATGGATGCTGGGAACTGAACTTGGACCCTCTAGATGAATGGCAAGTGTTCTTGACTGATGAGCTGCTTCTCTGGCCCCCAGGAGCTATTGTCATTGTTTTTTTTGTTTGTCTCCAAGATGAAGTCTTATTATATATATATAGCCCAGGCTGTCCCAAAAGTTGCTATAGAGACCAGGCTGGCTTTGAACTCACAGAGATCTTGCTTGCCTCAGCCTCCAGAGGGCTTTGATGAAGGATGTGCTCCAGAAAGCAAATTTTTTTTTTTTTTTTTGGTTTTTTCGAGACAGGGTTTCTCTGTGTAGCCCTGGCTGTCCTGGAACTCACTCTGTAGACTAGGTTGGCCTCGAACTCAGAAATCCGCCTGCCCCTGCCTCCCAAGTGCTGGGATTAAAGGTGTGCGCCACCACTGCCCGGCTTATTTTCATTTTTTAATAAGATAAAATTTTAAAAGATTTATTACTTTTTTATTATTTTAATTGCATGGATGTTTGCCTACATGTATGTATATGAACACCACATATATCCCTGGTGCCTTCAGAAGTCAGGAGGGCATCAGATCCTCTGGAACTGGAGCTACAGACAGCTATGAGCGTCCATGTAGGTACTGGGAACTGAATCCAGACCCTCTCCAAGAGCAGCTAGTCTCTTAGATGTTAAGACATCTCTCCAGCATCTAAGAAATGAAATTTTAAAGAGCACCAACTTCCTCCCTCCATCTCAGAGACATTTTCTAACTGCTTCAACTGTGGAACACCTGCCTTTCCCTCTGTAGAAAGAGGCAGCAATATTCATGGTCTCCGAGACACTCAGAGGTACCAAGCAGGGCAAGGGGGACAGAGGATATGGATGCCAATGTCCCATTACTGTGTAATTTCTTACATGGAGTGCGCTGACTTACAGCTCGGTTACCTTTCAAAACCTCTAACACAGTCAATCTTACATCAGCCCTCAGGCTGAGGAGACAGCACAATTGATCCAGGTGCTTGCTGTACAGCACGAGGATTTGAGTTTATACAGATCTCCAGAATCTCCATAAAACCAGGTGTGGTACCACACATCTGTAACCCCAGCTCTCCAATGGTAGGATGCAGGATGGACAAGGGAGAATCCTACAAGGCTTGTGGGCTAACTAACCTGGTGCACACAGCAGAACAACACGGAACCATGTCTCAAACAAGGCAGAAGGTAAGACCTTACCCGAGGTTGTCCTCTGGATTTCTTACACACACCTACACATACATAAACACACAAATTTTAAAAAATAGCAATTTTAAAAAAAATCATAATTCAATTTTTTTCCTTTTTTTTTCTTTTTGAGGTAAAGTCCCCTCCAACAAGGCTGGCTTTAAACCAGCCATGTAGCCTCCTGTGTCCATCCTCAAGAACTCAGATTACAGGTATGAACCACACCTAATTTATACAGTCATATATCAAGGACCAAGTGAAACCAACAGCAACCTTCCCCAGACCCTCCTGGAAGAAACGCTTGGGAATGGTCAGCACTGGCTTCCTATAAATGGGCCACAAGAGACCAGAGAAGGTTCATGCTTTGATCTACACCAAGAAAGAAAAATACAATCATAAAATCCCAGCAAGCTCTGAGAGTTGGCCACTAACAGACCTGGGTAACTGAGGGCAGGATACACTGGAGAAGCAGCAGTGAGAGCCCAAGGACCGCATCACAAAGCAGTCAGACACTGTGCAGATGTGAATGAGGGCAGTACCCAAGGATGCTCATGCTGTCAAACACTGCCCCAAGCATAACAACCACTATACTCTCAATCAGAACAGCTACGGTTACTCTCAAGAGACCCCTCATAGGAGATGGGAAGGTCCTCTGTCCCTCACCTGAGATTCTAGTCACATCAATGCATACAGTAACTACATACTTCTGTGCTTTTAAGAATTGTTGGGGCTGGGCATGGTAGTGTATGCCTATAATCCTAGACCTCAGGAATCAGATGTAAGTGGATCTCTGTGATCCTGGATAGTGAGTTCCAGAACAGTCAGGGAGACACAAAGAGACCCTGACTTAAAAAAACAAATGTAGAGTTGAGGGTACATAAAAAGACCCTGCCTCAAAAAAATGTGGGTTTGGGGGCTAGAGAGATGTCTCAGCAGTTAAGACTCACTAGTAGTACTTCCAGAGGAACCAAGTTCAATTCCCAGCATTCACACTGTATCTGACAAACATCTGTGCCCTCTTCTGGCTACCAGGTTTATATGTGGCGCACGTGTGCTCGGACACACACAAACACACACACATACACCACAAAATTTTTATAGTTTAATAAGAATCACAGTCTTTTAAAAAATACTATTGTCTGCCAAGGTGGTACATGCCTTTAATCCCAGCCCTTGGGAGGCAGACGCAGGATGATCTCTGGGTTTGAAGCCAACCTGATCTATAGAGTGAATTCCAAGACAGCCAGGGCTACACAGAAAAACCCTGTCTTGAAAACAAAAGAAAATTTTAAAAATTGTTTTTGCTTCTTCTTTTTAATTTTGTTTTTATTCAAAAAATTATTTGTATCTATGGCTGGGCATGTACATAGAAGTACAGGTGTCTGTGGTGTTGGGGCACCCTGTGTAAAAATGTGTCACTGTCCTTCCTCTCCTACTTAAGGCATTCTATGGCTTTAATAAAAAAAAATCTGATGGCCAAGTAGCTGGGCAGGAAGTGGAAGATGGGACTTCCTGGGAGGAAGCAAGGAACCCTGGGAAGAAGGAGAAAGCCTATCGTCAGAAGACATGAGAGGAGAGAGAGCTGATCACAGGTTTAAAAGGTATAGCTAGCCACATGGCTGGATGGGGCTAGGTGTATGGGTTAACTTAGACAAGCTATTGAAAGCTTGCCCAGCTAATGTCTAAGGCTTTAAGACATTTAAAGGTCTCTGTGTAGTTATTTGGGGGAAAGCTGGTTAAGGAATAAATGCTGTTGTATTAATTACCAACATTAATTAATATATACAGAACATAATAATCTTTTCGTGTACAATTGGCACCCAATGTGGGACCATAGGAACCCAAGCTTACAGCCTGAAAAGGCCTATGGGAAAAGGTGGGGTTGGGGGACCAGAGTAGTTGGACAAGGGGCCTGGTCTATTTAAAAAGAACGAAAGCAGACACAAGTCTGAGGGCACAATACCTATCATTTCTCCCAAGCACAACATGATGAAAAGCATGCTAGAGAGACCTAAGCCTGAAGCCGCAGCCTGAAGCAGCACAGAACCAGAAGCATCGTGGGTTAGAAAGGCCTGGCCAGGGTTAGCAGAAGGCTGAGCCACAGGGGCAACCTTCAGGACTGAGCTCGGGGGCAAAGCTGGCCATCTTTGCCTGGTAGGGCATTAAGTTTACAACTGGTAAATTCAAGTCCTTAAAGAGAGAATTAGAAATTAAAGGGAAAAATAGTTTCCATGTTAAAAGAACATGGAACAGTACAGCAGAAGTCGCTTGGGTCTTGTATAGGTTTGCTTTACCTGTGGTCATCGTGGAGCTAGTTATAATATATTCACCAATGCTCACTGTTTTCTGAGCCCTCTCTAAGGAAGTTCAGAATAAAGCAGACCTAGGTAAGGAGGGAGCTGAGTGATGGAATGTTAAATTCCAAACAATAAAAATAAAGGAAGGAAAAAAAGGCTCTTCCTGATAGAAAAAAGGAAAGTGATGGCAGCTGGAACTCAGAGCTCTCTGGCTGTGAGATGTCAGCTCTTTCTGCTAAGGGCCGGCCAGTACAGTGCAGCAATACCTGACTTCCAAGGACTAATAGGCAAGAATTCACTGCTGCAGCATAAGATAACACACTGGCTCCGAAGTGTAGTGTCATGCTTCTTTGCTTGATTTTTGTTTGAATGTTTTGTTTTTACCTGATAGTAGAAAATACAAAGGGTTATTTTTATTGTTTAGCATTACTAAAAAAAATAGGAAATTTTTAAAGGTTTTAAGTAAATTCAGAATGTCTCTACAGTTCAAATGTGTTGCTTTCTAAATTAAAGAGTTAACAATGATTTGGAATTGAGGTGAAATATTTGAGCAGGGCAGTGGTGG